TTGAAAAATCAGTAGATGAATGTTTTGAACAAAATATGAAAATAATAAAAAGCTGGTCTGTGAAAAAAAAAGGATAAAGTTCGTCGCTTTGTTTAGGTACCTACATGAAAATATCACACGGTATTATGAATATTTTACCAATTATGGCCGGATCGTTCGATTAGTTGATGAGCAAATGACAGAAAAAGTCCGGTACCCTGGATTGGATAGGAAAGAAATTGATAAGGTTGAAAGAGTTGTTATTGAGAATGATATAAGAAATTTTTTTTTTTTTCGATACAATATGAAAAGCTCTTAATTTTTAGATGAGCATAGTTTGATACGGATCGGTGCAAAAATCTAAACTGATTTCTGAAATATAGGTATTCTAGGAATTAAAAAATGATGAGGCTTATAGAACGACTTATTTATTGAAAATCGAAAAACAAGTCATCGTACTCTACTAAATGAGAAAGTTGAAGGAAATAATTTCCAAAGCAGATTTTTTCTCGGATGATAGTGAACTGTGTATCATTATGGAAGGCGATGCAAATAAAATATCTACGAGAATCTCGTCTACTTCCACTATGGTAGAAAATTGAAGTGATCACGAAATAGTTATTTATGATATAAGCGCTAAAATTGACATTTTATTTTGTGAAAAGGGAAGTTTGGGACACAACGCCGAAGGGGGAGTGTTCCATCCTTTTGAACAAAATAAAATTATTGAAAAAATTGTAGAAAAATGTAGTTATGTATTTAGTTTGGCATGACTCAAGGTAAAAGAGTTGTAATGTACTGAATCTTAAAGAACATCTTCAGGACCTGAGAAAGATACGTTTTTCATCGATTCTTATTGCTGAGGTTCGTTTAGTCGAACTTTTTTTTTCAGTATTCACTGGGTAGGTGTTTTAGAGATTTAATAATTTACAATAATAAACTCTTAGAATTAGAATAGAATTATTGTGATCTATACCATTTCCAAATCCAAGCGGCAGTAAATGAGAAACTGGTCATTTTCATTACAACCTATCAAATGTCCTCCGTGCATGCGCACTGATCCAGGTAGGGCGTTTCAACCAATACGAAGGCTGGTGTTTGTTCACAATTTAGGTTATTAAATGTCATTTACTGCCGCTTGGATTTGAAAATGGTGTAGTACTATTTTGATCCTCTTTGCATAGATATGTATCGAATACAAGGTGTATTAGGTTTGACTAAAATCTGTTTTTTTTTAAAGATAAAAGTCAAAATGACATTATGTTGGCAATACAATGTAAATTTGCCAATGCTTTCACATTTTTTACGTGAAAAAGGCTTATGTTGCCAACATAGTTACTGTTACAATATTTACATTAAGAATTTTCTGGTTTTGGAGGCCTTTCTTCTGGCTGATTGAGATTTGAGGGAATTGGCTGCATAAACTAAAACCACTTGTTTCTTCTGCAGAAAAGTCTTCTTTATTTAAATTGATAAAACTACTAATAACTCACAATTTGACAACAACTTGGGTTCTTGGATCCCTCGAAGGAAGAGCCAATGACTAATATTATTTTTAATTTTTTAATGTGAAACAAGACGTGACTGAGACTAAATCTAAACGTTCGTTCCCGATCAATAATAATCTTACTTCTTGTCTCTTTTTCATATAACACTTGACACTTCACTTGACAGACACATTGACATAAAGTAGAGATAAGCAAGCATAGGAATGAGCTGATTTAAATCAATATATAAACTTGTGTTGGTAAATTGTTTTTCCAACAATTACTAAATTTTTGATATGAGGTTTTATCTTTAAGGTTTAAGGTTTAAAGTCAACCCCTATTTTCTGAACCTTGTGTTCAAAAATTCCAAAAAAAATATATGTTTTATGGTTATTGATATAGTTTAATCCATAATTTTTTTAAGCAAATTTTACTCGGCATTTTTGAGTTATATCGCAAAAACTGAAAAAAAAAGGAGTTTTGCACCATTTATTTCAAAACGAATAGATGAAGTTTCCCATTATTTTTATTACGAACTACTATTGCAATTCTACGCGACATATATTTTTTTTCAAATTTTTTGAACTTGTAGTTTTCTCGCTATTGCAAGAATTGTTGGAAATACGCCTGTAGCTACACTGTTTAAAAATAAATCCGACGGATGAACGTTCAAAATTATCTGTGTTGGTCCAAACTACAACCCTGTTTATGTAAAACAGAATAATACTTCGAATTTCGGCAAAAAAAGGAAAAAACTTTCCATCACACAATTTAACCAAATGCAGATTTCTATTTTTTCTTGACTATCAAGTTAGGGCACACTATAGGGGCGACAGTACTGACATCTCGCGTTGCTGTAATAAACAATAGGCCTGACTTTAAACCTTAACAAAAAACAAACTTTACAAAGATTTTAATAGGTGATAATATGACCCTATATAACATGGGATCCAAACTCAATCATTTTTAGGAAAAATGTTTTTTTTTCTATGAGTATTGAATTATATGCGTAATATACATCCATTTTCTATTGACGAATATGAATGATTACTCATACAGTGAGTTTTTTTTTTCATTACTTAATTGTTTTCAACCAATGAAAATATCCTGGTCTCATTACTCCACTATTTAGGAGCCAATCAGAAAATTCGACAAGTTGATAACATACTTCAACCTTCCAATCCGTCATTTTGACAGCTTATGTGGACAAAACTTGGGCTAACCTAACCTCACTTTGTCCTCCAGCTGTCAGAATAATTGTCAATTAATTTTGTTACGAAAATTAAATAAAAAACTGTATAACTCGTGCCTATTATCTAATAATCATAGAAAAAGTATAGTATTCTACTCATGAGTAATGGCTATTACTCACTCGGATGATTACACAAACTTCATCCTCCGTGAGTAATAGCCATCATTACCCGCTCGTTGAATAATATACTATTGAAGTTTTGTAATTTTTTGACGATAATTTGGCAGATAATGAAAATTATAATTATTATTATTATGAGATCAAAAAAATTAATCACATTTAATTATGCATTTTCAGTCAAAAACAATAATTATAAATTTTAAAAATAACATGACGTTACTCGGAATTAGGTTTCTAAATATCTGGCGCAGCATTGAAAACGCGCGTAATTTGTTATATGTATTTTGGAAATAAATGTTTAGAAACGTCGAATATGCATGTACGTTTTTTGTTCACGGAGAGCCGTTACAGATATGCTTATTTAGCCGCCAGAATTTACAGGCAAAGATTTTCTAATAGGATAGAATAACCGAAAGAATAGTTATGGCCGTTTTGCAAAGTATGCGTGATACGGAAAGTGTAAGTGTGCAAAATGTTGAGGGGGGATCTATAAGATAAATGACACCTACCGGTGAAGAACATATTTTAGCGATAGCAGGCGCGGATCCAGACCCAAATTAAGGGGGAGGGCATACAAAATATTGGAAGGTACAGGGTGTCTGGTTATAATTTGACACCCCTCCTTTATAGGCAGATGATAGGTGTAAACACAAAAGTGGAGCAGTTTTAGCTAAATTATTGTCATAAATTTGAAATTTTGCGTACTTTCAACTTTTTTCAAATAGAATGCCCTATATTTGATTCTATATTCTTGAAAAGCACAATTTTCCGATTCCAAAAAATATAGTTTCTCTATGTTTAGTTGAGCCGTCTCGAAACCAAGTGATTCAAATTTTACCTGAAGCTTTCATCAGAATGGTTCACAAAATCGTCAGTAGGATAGTATTTCCCCAATTTTTAGAGCCAAATATGTTGAAGGCGGCTCAAACAAATATAGACAAACTATATATTAGAAGCAAATATAGGGCATTTCATTTAAAAAAGTGGAAAGTACGCAAAATTTCAAATTTCTTACAATAAACTTTTGTTTTTGACGATGGATTCTGAAAAATCAGTTAAAGCCGCACAATTTTTGTATTCACACCTATCATCTACCTGTAAAGGTAAACGCTGCAGGTGGGGTGTCAAATTATAACCAGACACCTATACATACAAATAGAATAGGCTAGAGACCCGTGATAAAATGACGCCATGAAATAAAATTCTGTTATAGGGACCCGTATACAGGCCCTGGTAAACCCGGAAAAATTTGTTGATTTAATGTTGATTTTTAAAATTATTTTTTCTTATCTAGTGGTGGCCATGGGCCCCATGGCCCCTCCCTGGATCCGCGCCTGAGCGATAGTGGAAGACGATCCTGGAATAAGTACTTGATCCATTGCTCGACACGTTAGATATTCCCACTAAATAGTACAGCGTGTATAGTCTGGCAAGTGTTAACTTGGTAGAGACGAAAGGGGGAAGAAAAGTGGGGCGTAACCTAAGAATATTCACTGACACGTCAACTGACACCGCCTGATGACATCCATGTCTTTGGGTTCAGTGGCACCAAAAACACCAAGGAAATAAACCAAAAAATTATTAGGATTTTTTTTTCAGTTTCACCAATAACCACGCCATTGGTGCTGCCGTTAAGGCTCTAACCAATAGAATCATCCCTCCGAATAATCACGCCCTCAGAGGATCCTTCATTTCGCAATGCTACCGGATTTTTTTCTATTTCAAAATGCTACATATGTCCATATTGCACAAAAAATATGTCACCAACTTGTTTATTATTTTTTCTGTCAAGTTTGGAAAAGCAGCAAATTCTATTGCAGTTCGCCGTTTGGCTAGCCAGACAATACATCTTAAATTATCACAACACTCACACCTGGGCACAAGAAAATCCATATAGCATTCAACAAAGATTTTCAATAAATGTATTTGGGCAGCAATTCTAATAAAATACTGAGAATTGACCCATGGTTAATAGGACAGTTTTAGCTTGAAATAGGCCATATTATCACATTTGTACTCAAACCTGATACACCTTGATAACAGATGCTCACTTTATCCACTTCTGAGGTCTACATTGAGTATTTTAAAAATTGATATTGAAAAAAAGTTCAATTTAGATTTGATAAACAAAGAATTAATATTTTATTCTCTTTTATTTTCAGTGCGTGGGTGTACTGGGTGATATCGTGTTCAGTTTTGTTGGTATTTTTCATTTTGGGCACGGTCGCCGTCATAAGATACAGATTGCTCAAGAAACGGACTTCCAAAGCTCCATATAAAGTGCTACTGGCGGCTTCCGATTTCACTTTTCCTCAATTAGCGGATAATCTCAGGGTAAGTAATGTTTGCAAATTCATGTAATTTTTGCAAATTCATCTATTTTTCAACATTTGAAAAATTCCTTGCCTTAATCAATGTATATTTTAATTTAGGTACCTACTTTTAACCAATTACTTTTGCTAGAAAAATTCAGACTGAAAGTCTTGGCCAATTAAATTAGGCATAAATACTAAATAAGTTATAAGCAATCGAATATTATAAGACAAAGGAAGAGTTTGTAATAGAATCGGTACTGTATTATTTATTATAGATATGGTTCCCATACACAATTTTAACATCATTATTTCCAAGTAATTTCCAATGATCATTATTTTTCTAAGAAACATCACTGAGATCCTTAAGCACACAAATTCATGCTGAATAATATCAATGGCATATTTGTTCAAGTGATTTGCATCTAAAAAGAAAAAATCTTGTATTTTATTTATTAAGTCTGATATTCTCATAAAATAAAAATCCATAACATCAAAACTGAAGTTAAATAAATTTAAAAAGAAGTTATTGTATTTAATTTCTTAATTTCTGTAAGAAAAATATCCCTCTCTTATTTACATTGCCAAAACTAAGAAGAATATTTAACAATAATATTGCTATCCCATCAGATTCAGATCACATTCTTTGAAGATGAGGAAACTTTTTTTTTTATCATGCCGGGATTTAACGCTGTGCATCCAAATAAATACCCTCCGGCGCTTATTGTTTTAATTTTCGGATTAGGAATCAACAGAGGGTGTAGTAAATTCAAAAATTGAGTTTCGGGGTTGCAACGTGACGCTGAAAGTTTTCTGGATTTCAAATTAGGGTGCGAAATTATTCAAAACGTGACTGTTCGTATTTTGCTTGCTTGTTCGGGTGACTGTAAAACTTTACAATGCTCCATTGCGAGGAGGATGCATATGTGATGTTAGTAGATGAGGAATTTTCTTATCTCAGGAATTAAACAACAAAAATGAAATTAACGTTGGATCTTTATATTTATTATCTCAGTTCGAGAATTCATCTATTCTTCCTAAACAACTAACTGTTAAGAAAAAATCAAGGGCAATTTCCAACACTTGTTCCATAATAAATTTTCCTACGTTTTGATAATTTTCCCATGGCGAAGGATAAAATCTTTATATTTAATATTTCAGAATTCATCTATTCTTCCTAAACAACTAACTGTTAAAAAAAAATCGAGGGCAATTTCCAACACTTGTTCCATAATAAATTTTCCTACGTTTTAATAATTTTCCCATGGCGAACGATAAAAGAACCACTTTCTCGTCGCCACACATGGCCCATAAACAACTACCTACCGTCTTTAAAATTCAGCACGAATCCTTTTCAGCCTCTCGAGGCGGCTTATGTGGATAACGGAGAGCACCGAGATCATCATGAATATTCCAGATGGCACAAGCTGTCGCTTCATTGTTTTTAGCCATACATCAGTGCGAACGCTCTAATTGTATTTCTCTAGAGATGCAAAAAGGGTTATTGAAAAAAAGATACTTAAATGTGATTTTTGGCAAATGAATGATATCTACATGAAAATACTTTTATATTTGGAGTGGGAAATATAAAAATACTCAATTTGTTACTTACGAAGCCCAAAGGGACAAGAATTCATCCAGAGCTACAGTTTAAAATGGTGGAAATATATCAAAGTGAAACGAACATGTTGCTGTCAATTCCAGTCAATGAAAAACACTTTGGACTATATTTTCTGTAAATATTAAGTTGATAGTTTTACCAGAAAAAAAAATGTGTATTTCTTTGAATGTTTCAGTAAAAATTCAATATGTTTTCTGGCAAAACAAATCATGACTCAAGTTTTAATGTCGACATTGACTAGTGGAGAAAATGAGTGCAATAATTAGATAGGTGGGAGAAGTTGCCTGTTAATCAATAAAAAATCCGCTGGAGGTGAGTCAAATTTAACATCCAATAACAAGGCAAACTTCTATAAAGACAATAAGTTCTGAATAGAAAACCTACATTTTCTGTGTTGTGAAAAGTTTTGAAAATATATACAACTTTTCAAAAATAAAACTCGAAATTCAACTTTTTTTTCACACAAAAGCAAACTGAAGCTATGGTAGGTATGATATAAAACTTTTTCCTATTCCCTTTTCATATAAAATTAATGAGGACAAAACGGAAAAGGTCTTTTTTGAGATTTACCTCTGCTCATTAGATAGATAGTATAAGCATTAATGTGATACTGATAAAGCACTACACATGAGCCTAGGCACAAGGCAATAAAATACGAAACCACTACTTTATTTCGTACCTATTCTAAACTTCCATTTATTTGTATTTTCGCGCTCGAATAATTTCTCTCTGCAAACTTTCGTAGGCAAATCTAATGCGAGCAAATAAATCCAGTTGTAAGAGTGGTTACTGCAGTGCTGCTCTTGATATGCACAATTTAGTAAAAGCTGATTTACGTTGGTCAAATGCAAATATGGCTTTTATGCAAGGGAGGAATCTGCTAGATAGAAAGAAGGTTTCGAAGGCCACCAGGGCCAATTTTAAAACGCAGGTGTTAGAAAAATTCAAGATAACTACGTAAAAAAAAAATATTTTCTGTTTTTCTAACCCTAACGAAGTTGAATTACTTATTGAGATGGTTGGTAAACGTCTTCTATTGATACTAATTACCTTTTTGTTTTCATCTTAACTTTCAGTAAACATCCTACATATTGCCAGGTTGAATAACTCAGGCATAATTGCATCACCTGTTCTAAAACTGTTGACCCTTTTAGCTTGCCTTCTTCTTCCTGCGTTGGATGTTTCACAAATTGGTTTTCTAGAAAAACTTTAAAATGTGAGAGTGTGCATTTGCTTCAATTAGGTAATTATTGGAAAAGTATTGATTGATCGATAAAGTTTGTGAGGCTTTCGCGGCCCAGGTTTATTGATAAAGTGTTTTCATTCGGGCTCAATGGCTGTAGTAAGTAGGAATTCTTTCCAGACGTTTAGCTGGCACGCGTGGCTAGCATTATCAGAGGTTCTTCCATGTCCGCTTTTGGTAGCAAACTGACGCGTTCCCGACCGTAAGTTGTATTTATGTGTGGCAGCACGTGGATAATTGTAAGATTAAACGAACTTACCAAGTGAAGTTCAATCTCAATTATCTTCACGCCTTGCTCGAGTGATCACACTGTGTAGTCCTACGGCGACAAGCCGGCGCCACGTAACGGTACCAAAGCTAAAATCAATATCCACCCCTTGCTCCCTAGAACCCGCTAGAAGATATTCAGTTCTTTTTTTTTTTTTTTAATGTTATATCCTGCTTACTTATATCTCAAAGTTAGTGATCACTACGGATTCTGGGTGGGAGGGTGTGATCACTCGAGCAAGGCGTGAAGATAATTGAGATTGAACTTCACTTGGTAAGTTCATTTAATCTTACAATTATCTTCACGCCTTGCTCTCATGATCACACTGTAGACCTTTAGAGTAGGTAATTTGAGATATATAATGAAACGCAGTTTTCCTGAAAATATTTAATGTAAATAAGTAAACCCCACAATTTCCCATAAACAACAAATCAATATACAGAACTCTGTAATAAATCAAAACTTACTAAGTATTAGAACAAATATAACATAAGGAAAACTCTAGTAATAATAATAACGAAGATATTAAACAATATTCGCCTATTTTATTTGTTTATTATCTGATATGGAGAGAGCAAAATCATTTTTGTCAAAAATCGGCCGATTATAAAAAGTCGCAAAAGCACTAGACTGAGAAGTCCAACCTGCAGTACTTTTAATTAGCTCCAAATTGATCCCTTTCATATTTGCTGAGGATGTGGAGGAGTGTCTAGTACTGTGTGCTGTAAAGATCTTTGTGTCTAGGCCACTTTGCTCAAGAATATACTTAATCCATCGCCTAACTGTTTGAGATATAGCTGCTTTATAAGGTTTTTTGGTTGTGATTATTAGGTTTTAAAACTTATTTCTTAATTCTTTTGTTTTTTGAATATAAACCTCTAAAGTCTTTGCAGCACACACCTTCTCATCCTTAGCAAAAAAAAGTATATATAATACTGGCTGTGATTTAGTCCTAAACGATGTTTTAGTTCGGCCGCTAATCCAAATTTGGAAGCCTGTCTCATTTTTATGAATATTTTCTAAAAGAATTAATGATAATGTCTGCACCCGATGGGCAGTTATTAAAGCAAGTAGAGTTACCAGTTTAAAGGATAATTTTACCAGAGGCAGACTTTCATTTGGATACAGCTCCCTAAGGTAATTTAGAACTATGCTAGGATCCCAAGTTAGGTTGTACTTAGGTTTGCTGGGTCTTATGTTATTAATGCCCTTAAAAAATGTTTGAACCTATCTCTGGTGATATTATCAAAACTAAAGCTGATCTTGCACAGTTAAGAGAGCCATAAGCAGCCCCCGATTTATACAATTCAGTTAAAAACTTAAGAGTCCATCTAATCGAAAAAAAGAAAACATCTATATCATTTGAAATACAAAAGGCCCACCAACGCTTTAAACTACTACTATATTGTTTTAAGGTCCTTTCTGAAATTGGAGAGACCATTATCTGTAATGTTTCCTCTGCTATTCCTGTCCTTCTGAGGCTCTCTTCGACAAGACCCCTACCACCAGGGAAAGGTTGCGCCATAAAGGATGTGGTTTCCTATCAACAGATAACAGTAAATCTTTACTGGGTTTCAAATATAATGCCTGGCCTTTAAGCAATTTGTTGAACAATGGAAACCAGGGTTGTGTTGGCCAATGTGGGACGACCACTATAACCCTTGCTTCATCGAACACTATTTTTTGTAACACTTTTGATATTAATGAGAAAGGAGGAAATGCGTAGGATAAATTTTCATTCCATTGTATGGTGAAAGCGTCAGTGGTCAATGCTTCTGGATCCCTATGCCAAGAAACAAAATTTTCACATTTTTTATTGAGTCGACAAGCAAACAAATCAATAGTTGGCATCACAAAATTTGAACTTATCAAATTAAAAGCTGACATTGA